AAAAAAAAAAAAAAAAAAAAAAAAAAAAAAGACTATCTCCTACTGTTTTTTGGGAGCAATTTAAGCATCATATCCTCAAGGTGTTCAAACCTTCCCAGGGGCCTGTTTTCTGTATCCTTCACTGCCTTGGCCATACCCCCAACATAGCACTTACCACACTACAACTTAATCTATATGAATAAATCAATTTAATCTCATTGTATCTAACACTCAATATTTTCTGGGGAAATTAATGAACTAAGCAATTCAAATCTAAGTCTTATTCTGAGGTTCACATTCTTTCCACTATTCAGAGTAGAAAGAGAAACAGAATAGTGTAGGATGACAAAAAGGCAAGAGGCCATCCACAAAACACTCACAGCTAACTGAAAGACTAGATGCTTTCCTCCTAAAATCGGGAGCAAGACAAGGATGTCTGCTGTCACCACTTCTATACAACACTGCACTGAAGACTCCAACCAGGGAAATTGGGAAAGAAAAAGAAATAAAAGTCACCCAGGTTGAAAAAGAAGTTAAACTATCTCTATTCCCAGATGACGTGATCTTATATATAAAAACATCCTAAGGAACTCACAGAATAATTATTAGAACAAATAAACAAGTTCAGCAAGATCGCAGAATAAAAGATCAATATACAAATCTCAATTGTATATCTCTATATATTAGTGTTGAACCATCCAAAATGAAGTTAAGAAAATAATTCCACTTAAAATAAAATTTAAAAGAAAAAAATGGCTGGGCACAGTGGCTCAAGCCTATAACCCCAGAACTTTGGGAGGCCGAGGCAGGTGGATCACCTGAAGTCAGGAGCTTGAGACCAGCCTGAGCAACATGGTGAAACCCCATCTCTTCTAAAAATACAAAAATTAGATGAGCATGGTGATGGGCACCTATAATCCCAGCTACTAGTGAGGCTGAGGCAGGAGAATCGTTTGAACCTGGGGGGCAGAGGTTGCAGTAAGCTGAGATGACACCTCCAGCAAGGGTGATGGCAGTGAAACTCCATCTCCACAACAACAAAAAAAATACAAAATACATTTAACAAAAGAAGTAACAAGACTTGTGCATCAAAAACTACAAAACATCACTGAAAGAAATTAAAGACATAAATAAATAAAAAGGCCGGGCACGGTGGCTCAAGCCTGTAATCCCAGCACTTTGGGAGGCCGAGGCGGGTGGATCACAAGGTCAAGAGATTGAGACCATCCTGGTCAACATGGTGAAACCNAGAATTGCCTGAACCCAGGAGGCGGAGGTTGCAGTGAGCCGAGATCGTGCCATTGCACTCCAGCCTGGGTAACAAGAGCGAAACTCCGTCTCAAATAAATAAATAAATAAATAAATAAATAAATAAAAGGCATCCCATATTCATGGATTGGAAGATTTAATCTTGTTAAGATGATGATACTACTCAAATTCATCTACAGACTCAACACAACCCCTATCAAAATCCCAGCTATCTTGTTTTGTAGAAATTGACAAGCTAATTCTAAAATTCATATGGAAATGCAAGAGACTCATACTCACCAAAGCAATTTTGAAAATTAAGAACAAAGTTAGAGGACTCACACTTGCTGATTTCAAAACTTACTACAGGCCAGGCATGTTGACTCATGCCTATAATCCCAGCACTTTGAGAGGCCAAGGCAGGTGAATTATTTGAGGTCAGGAGTTTGAAATCAGCCTGGCCAACATGGTGAAACCTCACCTCTACTGAAAAAATACAAAAATTCAAAATTAGCCAGGTGTGATGGTGGTTACCTTTAATTCCAGCTACTCAGGAGGCTGAGGCAGAAAAATCACTTGAACCCAGGAAACAAAAGTCTCAATGAGCCAACACTGCACCACTGCACTCCAGCCTGGGCAGCAAGACCCTGTCCCCCCAAAAAAAAAAAAAAAAAAAAAACTTACTACTAAGCTAAAGCTATAGTAATTAAGATAAGACA